AAAAAAAAAAAAGAACGAAAATTTCCTCCTCTCCTCAACTGCTTTCCCTCATGCAATTTCCCGGCAAAAGAAACTTGAACTTATCCGCATTCTCCAAAAGATATGCCGGCAAGTGTACAGCTGAATACGAATGTGGGATGGGCCCCATCTTCCCGATAATCTCCTTAAACGTGTATTCCTCAGGCAGCATATCGAACAAATCAGCACCTTTACAAATAACCCTTTGAATCCTGTTCAGGCTCAAGAAATGCGAAAAACGAACCCGATCAAAGTGACTGTACGCCTTCATCTTGAACACAAACTCGCTTATCCTCCTAAAGCAAAAGCTGCAGTGCCAGCCCGCATCGGCCAAAATCACGTCCGATTGCCTGTAATGCGCGTATTTAGTCTTTCCAGATTGGTACACGTGGACCGAGGCTCGCCAGCTGTTATTATCGAGCAAGAACTCGAATGAGTAGAGATAGTTTTTCAGACGGAGGTGCAGAACGGGAGGAATCCCATCACACCACCTCAGCAGATTAATCGTGTGCCTGCTCGGGATTTCGTCAACATCCGACATTATCAACAAGTCATCATCTTGAATCCCAGCCTGTTTAAGCAAATAATCTAAAGCAATCCTTTGATAAGCTTCCTCCACAAACGGGTTTACTCCCTGTTTGAATCTGCCCGGGACCTGGCCGTAGGTCAAACGGGCCTCGACGAACCCGAATTGGGCCCGGGCGGTAGAGAATACCATGGGCTTTGGGAGGCCCGTGAAAGTTGAATTGGACTCGAGGAGAACAAACTCGGTTACGTACGGGTACAGCTCTTTCCAGCGAATTTCGAGAATATCGAGCTCATTGCTGAATAAAACAGCATCATATACACGTCTCGGGTATTCGCGTATGCCCCAGCCGTGAAGCTTGCATAGATTCTCCATGGAGACATTTTCGTGATAGTAATGAGGAATCTCGTTGAAAGGCTTCGGTGGAGATTCCCAAAGGGGGCGGAGAAAGTAGGTTATCTTCTGGCCGTGCATGTAGATAACGAAAATGCACGTGGGGACCAGCACGAATAGGAAGAGATACGCTTTTATGTCGAGCCCGCGAATGAAGCATTTTAATCGGGTCATGGTTAGTGGTCGGCTTGAGTCTGAGTCCTGTGGTGTAAGGAATTAACAGATCAAATGAGATAAAGAAAGCTAAAATGGATGTGTTTTCATGATGTGTTCATAATTTTGATAGACTTTGGTATGGGATGGGTTTTTCGAAGCTCAAGAAAGGTTTTTTAAGTATCCAAATGGACTATTTCATTGAGAAATGAGAATTCCAGCAAGAAAACAGCAAGCAAACCATTCAAGAGCATATGTTGGCAAAAGGAACCATTCAATGAGCCAAAAACGGAGGATTCGATAAATTGAAAGAAAGCAGAGAAAACTCAATGGATCTTAAAAAATCTTATGTCTTCATTTTTTGATATAACAAATACCATAAAGATGAGAATTTGATCTGAACATGAAGAAAACACAAAACTATACGAAATCCAAGATTTTTTTCCTCCAAAAAGAGAGACATAAAATAGAGCATTCAAATTTTATAGTTACCATAAAAAAACACAAAATCAAACCACAAATGTTCCCCCATTAATGCAATTCACCAGAAATTACAGAACAAATAAAACGAAAAATTGAAGAATTTTTTTTTTTTACCTCACCACAAGCATCACCACAAACATCATCAGATTTCTTCGAACAATAGCGAGATCCACCTTCTCCCATCGTATTCACCTTCTCCCAAAATCTGGACAAACCACACATTCCTCTATCTCAAGCCCCTTTATTTTTCTTCCCTAAATTTTTTCCACAAAAAAAAAATAAATTTTCAAACTTTAGATCTCCATCCAGAGTTGAAATTCCAAGAGCCCAGGTCTCAAAATCAGGTCTTTCAATCAGGAAAATGAAGATGAGAAAGAACCCTAAATGCAAAAAATCCAAACCCTCAAAAAAAGGGAAAAAAAAAATCAGAATTTTGAGTGACCCAAAAATGAAAAAAAAAGTTGAAATTAAAGAAAAAAAAAATTTATAAAAACCAGAAAGGTATTTCTGTGTGGTATGGGCTGTTGTGGTGAATGGGTTGGCAGTTGTCAGGACTCTGTAGAATGAAAGCCGTTTGTTTATCTTTGTCTTCTACCTTTTATTTTATCCCACCATTAGAGCAAAACCTTAAATAATAGTATCTGTCATTTTTTTTGGGGCAAAATTTGAGGGTGGAATGACGAAAATGCCCATGGGATCTGGATATGAACATGCTACGAAACTAGAAAAATGGGCTAACTCAAAATGGGCATTTATGGGTCATTATTATGGGCTGCGTCCATTGACTGGCTCATGACCTTTGGCGTGTAGGACGGTTGTGTGTAGTTTTTGTTGAGAAATACATTTTCACAATTTAATATAATATATTGATTTATAATAATTAATAATACGTTTAATAAATGAGTGGTGTTG